TAATTGACAACCAAAAAATTACTATTACATTTGTAATATATTTTTAAAAAAAAATTATAAAAATTAATTATTTAAATAAATTGTAGGTACGCGTATATTATAGAATTAAAGACYGATGACGACGATTGCGGGAAATACCACCGACAACGACACTAAAAACACTAAACAGTAAACAACAGCTGCTTTTTTCTATAATATTTATTAATTTTAAATTTTTATGGAGTGTCATATACATTATACATAAGACATAACTGAATAAGTATTGGCCAATTATCCGTAATTTCTTATTGGGCGTTGCGGAACAGTTTAATAAAAAACTTACTATACTTTTATTTATTACTTTCGATTAGCCTTATTTAATATAGCCAGTATAGGTACTTTTTAAATTAGTATATTCAAAAATAAACTAAAATGTTAAAAATTATATGTATTTCTTCTTTTTTTATAATTTGTTTGATTGTATATTAGGTAAATAGGTAATATATATAATAATAATAGGCTATATTACCTACTTACCTAATATACAATCAAACAAATTATAAAAAAAGAAAAAATACATATAATTTTTAACATTTTAGTTTATTTTTGAATATACTAATTTAAAAAGTACCTATACATATATTGGCTATTTTAAGAAAAGCTTAAGAGTATACGGCGTATAATATGTAGTATACCTTATGGAAACAYTACTGCCTATACTACATAATTAATAATTATTCATCTATAGTATTTAAAACGATGTAGATTAGATCAAGAACCTAGATAWCCTAATCCCAATGCTTATATTATATGATAGGTATACCTACAACACCTATATATCTTATTATAATCTTTAAACGTTCAAATGTTGAAGAGCAAATTTCAAATCAGTGCATGTTAATCATAACTGATGCTTTCTCTAAATTGCATGAATATTTTTATGGAGAAATATTTATATAGGTACCTATTGATATTAGTGATGATTACAAAATACTAGATATTATAGTATGCATATTATGTATTTATGTATAGTATATTGTATATAATATATAAATAACTGTGTTAATAATACTCGCCGAAAAACAACAGAAATCCAGCGGTGGTTGCGGGTACACCAACTACGTTTTGCATGAATACCATGGTGTAAGAAAACCAAATGGCCGCGGTAATGTCATTGAACACGTGTCCAAAGCCGAAAGCCACGCGCCGACTGCTATCAACGGGCCGCTGTAGTTGTTGATGAAGCGGACGTTCGTTGCGATGATCCTCGGCTGCTGACGACCGGTCATCCTCCTCGCTCAGCAACCGTTCATATTCGTCGCCGCAGTTCTCACACCGATCCATTATTGTGTGTAACGTTTGTTATTATTGAATTATAATATCTAACATAACCACAGTTGCAATCAAAATTCAAAATATGTGGAACCATTATATAATTATTYGAATCAGTCATCAGCGAAGGATATAGAAGAATATTTGATATCTGACCGATCTGCAGGGGGTAAGGGAGGGAGATTTCATTTATTTAAACGTACGCAACACAAATATTTATCATATACATTTTTAAATATTACAAACGTATCAAATCAACCAATAGCAATATTAGCAATAATATTTTATTGTTATATATTATTATAATTTAGATATGACGTAATTAATGCGTAATATAATTAATATAATGTAGGTACCTACTACAACTACAGGGTCTTCCAGATATTGTATGAAAAATAACATTATCCCCACCACTTTGTTAGCCAAATTTGGAAGACCCTACGGTAGTGGCGTTCACCCTATGTACAAGATACAGGCACCGCTATTGCTACACCTTTGATAGAGTTTGTGGTGGGGAACGGGGGTAGGTGCATATGTCTGAGTAAGTTAAATTTAAAACTAACTTAAACGAATGGATAGAAAGTGGAAATAATGACAAATTTTTGATCTTTTTTTAATTATTGCTATTTGCTGATAAATATTTTTTTGCCAAATCAAAATACTTTATACATATAGTTAAGGAATTACAATTTATAATAAGGTATCAAAAAATCTAAAACATATTATATTAACACTAATTTTATTTTAAGGTTAGTATTTTTTAAATTAYTAATTTAATAAAAAAATAACTAATCAAAGCTACACATTTGAAATTGCAGTTTTGACGAAATGACATATTTAAACGAAGAATAACGTCGTTAATTATTCTGTTGTGATTCAAAAATATTATTAATGGTCAATGGATACTTGTAAGTTGTAATTATAAATTTTTAGGTATATTATTATATTTTATACACACAATGACTTTCAAATGCCAAGTTTTCGGAAATAAATTACATCAAATGTCATTAATAGTGCTACCTAGACACCTAGTATAGTAGTATATTAAAATATACTTAATTAAAAAAGCTGATGGACGGCTTCGCTTAGAACGTTTTTCGTATATAATTATTTTATTACATTAGGTATTGAATTCAAATTTAACATATCCATTATATTATACTTTATAGTGATTCACTCGAACTTACTGCACAGTAGAACGGTACCATCAGCACAGTTGCCTACCTCTCTAAAGTGTATTTAATTGCAAATTACTTATACATAAAGCTTAAATATCTCTTTAAAAATATGAAATATTTTTAGGAATCCCTTAGAATCATCACTAACTCGAACGACACGTGACGAATAGAAGTCGTTTTTATACCGCATTACCTACCCGTGTATAAAGCTAAGGCATAACCATATAAGTATACAATAACTATATGTATATCTAGTAATATTATTATTATAGTATACATCATTAATTTTAATTTACGAGTATAAATAATGAAATATATAATTGTGTACCTGAAAAACGCATTATAACACCATATGTTATGAGCGCTTTTTCACTTTTTCTTCACGCATATGTATCACCTCAACTTATAGATATTTCAGCCCTCAGGTACCTATATATCTATCGGTTGTATCTTGGRATCGCTGATATACGAACATCTAATGTAGGTATACAATTTGTTTATATAAGTACACCAGCCGATTTATAACGCGTGTAAATGATGGCGATTATGACATTTAAAAATTAAATTGTCTACGAACCATTGGCAAACRATACTGATATTGTGATTAACGAAATAACGAAAAAAGTACGCAAGACAGTGTTGTCCAGATCGCCGACAGACACTGCGCTATGACGGGTTTCTTGGGCGATGGAAGCCCGCGCAGTTCCGCCGATGTGTTGTGATGTAACCCGAACACATTATAAGCATAGAGGTAGATATATCATATTATAATGTACATGATATTATGTTATTATAATACCATTATAAAGGTAGGTAGGTACCTACGCACATTGTTGCTAATGTTCAAGTTAGCTGTGTGTAGTGGGGTGATGATCACGACCTGCCCGTACGGCGTTCTGTAAACTGTATAGTTTATAGTTGTCAGTTAGGGCGGTACTGCTGTCTACTAATCTTCCGGCTTCTCGTTACCACACATAAATACATAATGTATTCTTTGTTTATATTGGTAATAATTTATACGTCGCATTTATTACAAAATTGTAACACACTGATATATACATGTGTGTGTGTGTAAATATTTAATACACATTTACTAACTTACTACCGGATTTATGGCCATAAAGTCTCTTGTCTTTCAAATACTATTTGTTATAATAATATTTTTTAGAATATACCTAATTCATGTATTCTACATGACGTGTTGTATTATTGTCGTAGAATTCGAAAGTCACCATTTGACGTATTATAAAATTATATATGATGTTGGACGAAACTCATAACTCACAGGTTAAGTTATTAATAGTTTTCTTATAGGTACCCACTAACCAGATTGTTGTTACTTTCTTGGATTTCTTGGAACAATTCAAATTGTATTTTAAAAATCAAAAATATATTGTTGTTATTTTCTACTAATCTCATAGGTATTTACTCGAAATCTGCAAGGGACGTGCCGGACCTCTATTAGGACAAAAGTTATGGATTTTCTTTGAATCAAAGGCGATCAGGGCTGGACCATTTTATGAAAAAAGTAATAGGCCAGATCGTGGTGGACTTTCCTTAAATCAAACTACAAAAACTTCAGACTGGACTTTCTCATAAAATATTATTCTATGATAATACTGGAAAAAAATATATGGGGTTAACGGTTAACCGTACTGTGTTTAGTCAATACAATTTTTAGTGGACATTGGGCAGGATAAAAGAATTTAAAAAAAAATTGGTCTATTCAGGTCAGGCTTACTTACGACAAATTGTCCATGGATTGAGCCAGACTTTTTGTTTTAAATGGATATATCCCGAACAGGCAGTTTTAAAAAAATATGTACCAAACATGGGTGGGCTCGCTCACCAAATACTATTCCCGGGCTAGGTTTTCTAAAAATCATCCTGAGCCGGATTAAGACAGGCTTAATCGTGAAAAACTATTCTCGGCCTAGGCCAGGCTGTAAATCATCAGCCCGTGCAGACCCCTAGTATTTAGCAACTTAAGAATTAAGGCACATCTCAAAATTACAATCTATGCTAGCTTAAATCATTAGTTGTTATCGGTCATAACTCATAACCAATATTAAATGTGTATTAGACAGTATCGGTAAAGTTTATGATAGACTGAATGCTGTTTATAGTTGAATATATTTAAAATAAAATACATCAAAGTTGCTTATAGTTGAATATTTTTAAAATTAGATACATCAAAGTTATATCTATAATTTTAATTTAATATTTACATATTCTGTTATATAGTTAATCAATATCATGCACATTATATGTATTTTTCAATCAGTTATCAGCAGAAAAAATTACTAGTCTATAATTAGATCTAATTTTCTTCACTGAGGCCATATTTCATTTTGACTTTTTCTAATTCGGCTTTCTTCTTGTCTGTATCCAATTTTTTAAATGCTTTGGTTGACTAAACAACATAAAACATAACATGATATTACAATATTTTTATAACTAAAAAAAATGAAAATGATACCTGATAATATAAGACGACTAGGTATCGGTTGCACACATTGAATCCAGACAAGTGATCACAGGCATTCTTTGCATCAAATATATCTTCATATACTACAAATGCAGTTCCTCTTGTATCTGGAGTGTTGCCTCTATAAAATAAAAATAGTTACTAACTTAATTTTAAGTTGAGATTAAAGTACAATTTATGGTATCATTGAAACTTTTCAAAATATAATGTAAATGCATTAGATTAGAACATTGAAATAATTGTGTTGCAGTATAACAATATATTAATTATCTTGCAATGTATAAATATGTAATTTATTTTTTATTCATGTAACAGCTTGTTTTAAAGGCAGTAGCAGTCCTCTTTAGAATTGATTTATAGAAATAGTTTGACATTATTGGAAAAGTCAAGAACTGACATTTCTTTTAAGCATTATTTAAACCAGGCATGTCAAAGTATTGACTGCATAAAATACATTGAAGCTTTCTATAAGATCTGCATATACAAATTTATTGGAAAAAATAAAAATATGTTATTAGTAACATAATGGATTTAAAATATAAATCATCCATTAATATTGCTATTTGTAGGCTATAAAAAAATAATCCATAAACATTTTTAAGACAGATACGACCAACACATGAGTAGCATTCTCTTAAAAAGGGAAGAATGGTATGGTTGGAAACCAGAGATTATTGTAAATGAAAATTGAGCTAACAGAAGACTAAATATTTTGAACAATAGAGTACTTAAAAAGCTTAGCTAAGTGTCATAAAATGGAGATAGTCCTGATGATATCTAATACTAATATCTTTAATATAAAACTGTGTACACAAATGAGAGAAGGCTGAATAGTCATGAAGATCAAGAACAATAGTAGTAATTAATTAAATAATAAACTGTAGATATTAAGCAAACAATGTTCAGTTATTTGACAAAAAAAAAGCTGAAAACATTAAATAGCAATAATACAGGGTGTCCCAAAGAGATCTGACATTCTGAGAAATGAAATAACTTTTGTTCTAATCAATATTTTTTAAAAATGTCTTTTAAATATAATCCATATTCATACTCTACATTTTTAATTTTTTAATACTGAAAATAAAAAACTTAAAAATTGATAAATTTTTATTTCGAAATATTCAATATAGCCAATTTGTAAATCTGATTTTTAGAAAAATGTATATGTTAAAAACACTTATTTAAGTCAAATGGCTGATTTTTTACAATTTTTTTAAATATCAATATTTTCGTTAGGTAAATAAATTATAGTAATTTATAGTTTATACATCACATATTATTAAAATAAATACAATAAAAAAAATAATTAGATTTTAAAATGCACTTATTTAAAAATGTTCTTATAAAATATTTTTAAAAAACTTTATTATTATTTGAAATTACAAGGTTTCTAACATAAACTAGATCGTAATTTACTTGGCGAAAATATTGATATTTAAAAAATTGTAAAAAATCAGCCATTTGACTTAAATAAGTGTTTTTACCATATAAATTTTTCTAAAAATCAGATTTACAAATCGGCTATATTGAATATTTCGAAAAATTTTTTTATCAATTTTTAAGTTTTTTATTTTCAGTATTAAAAAATAAAAAATGTATTCTAAAAATGTAGCACAAGGGTCTATGAATTATATTTAAAAGAAATTTTTTAAGAATATTGATTAGAACAAAAGTTATTTCATTTGTCAGATCTCTGTGGGACACCCTGTATATTGAAAATGATTAATAATTAATCTAATTTACGTATTTAAGAGTATGTAACAGTGGTATTTGTTGTCCCCATCTTACCAGTGCATAATATAGCAAATTTACACTCAGAAGAACACGTCTTGTAGCTCCTTTAGTTTAAAAATTACAGTGAATCGATCTATTATGAAACWTAATGGTAAGAACATTATCTGTGTTTGCACGTTAGTTATTTACGATAATTCAATTTTTAAGTGAGTTATGAGCATTTTTAATGTACTGTATATTATATGCTTATAACTCACTTAAAAATTAAATTATCGTATAAAACCAACATACAAACACAGATAATTTACTATTAAGTTTCATAATAGGTCGATTCACTGTAATTTTTAAACTAAAGGAGCTACAAGTGTTCTGCTGAGCGTAAATTTGCTATATAACGCACTGGTAAGACGGAGACAACAAATACCACGATTACATACTCTTAATGTAATGATAAATATGATTTACAGTGGGCAAGACTTTTGGGTTTGGAGAGACAAGTAAAACTCTATATCTAGTGTACGCCATTGGAAATTTCAAACATTTAACCATTTGGGACTAATACAAATATTGGGTTATTAAAGGTTTCAGTTATAAATATGATACATCATTACTKATAAGTCTAATTAAGTCTCCTGTTCTAATTTTATCAAAAATTATAGATTAAAAAACATACACTCTAATTTGACGAATGGCACCATATTTTCCAAAAATATCATACATTTCTTCGGCTGTTATTTTATAAGGTAAGTTCCTTATGTAAAGAACCCTATTAATTTCTGGAGGCAATCGTACCTGGAACGAATAATTAAACTAAATAATTAAATAAATCTTCTTAATAATTGTAAACATACAATATTTTGAAGCTTAAATCCATGCAATTAATTTTACTTACATTGGTTTTTCTTTGCATACTAGCAAGAGCCATTTTATTTTTAATAGAGTACACACAACCAAAAAAAAAGAGTTTATATTTTCATATTATTTTAAATTTTTAAATCGTAATACAATTTTTAGTATCACTATTCACTATTCAAATTTCACTTAGTCTTAACTCTTAATAGTTAATACAAAAGACAAAACGTTTGTTCTTTGATTATACAAACATAAACAWAAATAACAAAATATGGATATCATTCTTTATCTAAATAGTAAATACAGAAAAGCATAATATTCACAATAATATTAAGATATTAAACAATTTTGATATTTACAGTGTAACCAACTTAAGCAATCAAATCTTGTTAAAGTTGAATTCCGACTTCCATAAAGAATCAACCACGGTCCATGCATAGATAATATATTATCTATAGGTCCATGAGGCATGATGATTAAGAGGACGCTACACCCGCACACGATTTAAGATATACAGGTTACTCAACGACCCTATGCACATACACACCGTAAATGGTGCGCTTAAATGTTGGATTTAAACAGCTGATCCAACTATGCGAGAAAAGCTACTAACGCTCCAAGCGTGGATAAAATCAACCAACAACCTGATAGCAC